TGCTTCTGTAAAGGTTTACAGTCTTGGAGACCCTATAGGGCAGTTCTACTGCTATGATATTGACTTGATGGCAACAAGTTATATATATTCTGTGGGTTTCTAAAAGAATAAATAAATCAGTCTTTGGGAAATACAGAATGTTCCTTAGAAATGAGGATGGCGTGACTTCGACAGATTTATTTTGGAAATGTCATTAGGAAAGGTCAATTGCTAGAAAAGGATATCATATCTGGTAACATAGAGGACCAGTGAAAATGAGGGAAACTTTCAGTGAGATGATTGAGACAACAGTCATGACAGTGGACTTGAACAGTGATCATGAAGATGGTGCAAGACTGGGCAGTGCTTTGATTGATCTGTTACACGAGAACTCAATGGAAACTAACCACCACCGCCGCCACATTTCCCTCCCCCTCCCAGCTACCCAGTGTCCCTCACTGGAGGCAACCACTATTTCTGTGTCTTCTGTTGTTATTTATTTATTTGTTTTGCATTATCTTGGGATTTTATTTTTTTTAAATTATATTAAACAAAGTCCCATTTCATCCAGACATGGAAAAGACTGGGGTATTCACTAGCTCCATTTTTTACCCCCTCCAGGTAAAATGGGCCTGCTGGGACCTGCCTTGGAAAGTTGTAGAGCTTGGTTGACATATAAGGACGGAGCAGTGCCTAGCAGTTGGCCAGTGTTTGGTGAGTAAGACTGCCTTTCCTTACCCTGTTACAAAATGGAGTATTTTCCCAGCTTTGTGCTGGATCTATAAAGTGAATCACAAAACTAGGAACCCCAGCAGCTACTGGGGCTTGTACTTGATGGGTTTCTGTGTCTCACTCTCCTGATACTCAGCCAGCAAGCTGCCCTGAGCTGGCAGAGCCTCCATGTGCTGTGCCTGCATGCCGCATTGCTTGCCTGTGGCCGTATCTATCTGCAGTGTGAGTTATCATAAGTGAACATTTTCTACCACATCCTATTACTGTCCTCCCCTCCACCACACACACACTTTAAAAAAGTATTTTTACCTCACGTCACGTGATATTGCTGGGTGTGGTTATCACTCAGTGAAAGCACAGTCTCTCAGTTTCTTCTTCCTCAGCAGTGCAGTTAGACAGCCCTTCTCTTGCATGAGGAGGAGGAAAGGGCTGAGTTCTAGAATCTGACAGCTTGGTCTGAGTTCTGGCTGTCTTGCTCCTGAGCTGTGTGACCTGGGACAAGTCACTTAGCTTCTCCAAGCATCCGTTTGCTCATCTGATACAAGGAGTAGGATGAGTAGACCTCGTCTATAGGAGACAGCAGTTTGCTATTTTTTTCTGTCTGGAGTGTTCCAGGTGCAGGTGGAAGCTCTTGAAATACATTGGTTCCCTTCCTCTTTCTCTTAGGTCAGAGATTCTCAAAGTGTTGTCCCTGGACATCCGTATAAACGTCCCCTGATAGCTTATCAGAAATGTAAATTCTTGGGTCCCATTCCAGAACCAGTGAATAAGAAACTATGGGGTGAACTCTAGCTTGAATGCTCTGGGTATGCCAGCATTGGAAGCCCAACAAGTCCAGTGAGCCTACAAGACTCTGGCGGAGGTCACAGTCCTACTTCCTGCTCAGCTACAGAGTTCCCACAGAGGTGGGCAGGGGGCTCTCTACTGAAGTCCATATTCACCTCCAGATGTTCTCAGCCTTGGCACTATTGACATTTTGAGACAGATAATTCTTGTTGTCATAGTGGCTGTCCTGTGCACTGTAGGATGCGTAGCAGCATCCCTCGTCTCTATCTACTAGTTGCCAGTAGCTCCCTGAGAACCACTGGTCTTACTTGAGTGACCACTTGAGATATATATATATATATATATATATATCATACTTGTTGCTGTTGAATCAATTCTTACTCTTGGTGACCCCATGTGACAGTAAAACTGGTCCATAGAGTTTTCTTGGCTGTAATCTTTATAGGATCAGATTGCTAGATCTTTCTCCCACGGAGCTGCTGGGTGGATTCACGCTGCCAACCTTTTAGTTAGCAGCAGAGCACTTAACTGTTTGTGCTTCCAGGGCTCCATTAAGCGGAGGTTCCACCCATTGCCATTGACTCGATTCTGACCCATAGTGACCCTATAGGACAGAACAGAACTGCCCTTTAGCGTTTCCATGGCTATATAACTATTTGTGGAATGAGATTGCCTCATTTTTCTTCTGTGGAGTTGCTGGTGGGTTTGAACTGCTTATCTTTTGATTAGCAACCAAATGCTTTAACCACTGCACCACTAGAGCTTTAATGAGTAGAAGTAAGTCACTGGGAAATTTTGGGTCTCAGGACAGTGGAGAGGTGAGTGGTGTGACTGGAAGGGATGTAAGTAGTGGGAGCAACAGTAGCTTTAAGTCCCTCCAGTTACTAGCCATGTGACCTCCTTCTTTACCCCCTCCTCACTCTTAGTCTTCCCTAAGCAAATATTCACACACTCACACACTTTATTTTCATAAATGATTTTTACTTCTTTATCATTTCTCTTGACATTAATTCTTGGCAATATGCATATTACATGAAGGCAAGCATAACTTTCAGAAGTCATCAAAGATATTATTCTATTATCCTCATATTCTTAAACCATTAAAATATTTTCATTTATAAAAATTAATCTAAATATAAATATTGACACTAAAGATCAAAATCACTTGATGACAAAATAATTCATCTGTAGCTATAACTTATGCTTATGATTTTTAATAGTAAATTAAATCTTTGCACTTATTTGGCACAAGGAAACCTTTATAAAAATTCAGATGCCACAGAGCAGGCTGCTGCTTCTTTTTTTTTTTTTTTTTGCAAGGCTTACACAGTACACATTTCTCTCAAAGAAAATGATTATTTGAATATTTTAACACTGTACCACAACAATAGTTGCTTTTCATGCCTCTTAAAGAAAACATTCTATTTAGAACTCAGATCTTTTTCTGTTGTGTTTTTTAAAATTTGCTTTTGTTTGTTTTGATTTGAATCACACCAACAGAACAAAAAGCCAAAGATTTACTTGATTTCAAATGAGTCATTTCTGTTGGATGACATATACACAGCATCAGCAAGAGTATTATTGGAAGATAGATAGTCCCCATTGGGAATGGATCACAACACACGTGTTTTGGCAGCAACTCAAGTCTGGAAATGTGTGTAGCAGCAAAAGACCACGGAGGTCAAAAACAATGCAGGGTGGTGTTTTCTTGAGTTATTTAAATGATAATTATCTTAAAGGTATGACTTTGGGCAAATTAATCTCTCTGATCCTCGGTCTCCATATCTGAAAAATGGGGATACCTACTGAATAAGGTTGCTATAAGGATTAAAGCTCTGGTAGCATAGTGCCTAAGGCACTTGACTGCTAACCAGAAGGCTGACGGTTCAAACCCACCAGCCACTCCTTGGAAGGAAGGTTGGGCAATCCTACTTCTGTAGTGATACTGCCTCGGAAACCCAAGGAGGGGTCGCTATGAGTCGGGGCTGACTTGATGGCAAATAACAACAACAACAACATAAGGATTAAAGTGAGAAGAACATTGCCTCCTTCAGGGCAGGCACTCCATCAAGGCAGTCATAACCATTCCTCTGTCTCCTACCTGTCGCCTTCCCCCCTGAGCTTCAGGATATCTCACAGTAAGTGTAACAAAATGTTGCTAATGGCCAGCTAAAGAGCTCTGGTGGCGTAGTGCCTAAGGCACCTGACTACTAACCAGAACATTGGTGGTTCAAACCCACCACCCACTCCTCGGAAGGAAGATTGGGCAATCTACTTCCATAGAGGTACTGCCTCAGAAACCCAAGGAGGGGTCGCTGAGTTGGCGACGACTTGACGGCACATAACAACAACAACAACGCCCAATGAAGTCAGCAAAATTCCAATTTCATTTGCTTTTCTAAATACACTCTAAATAGTCATGCATTTTGAAACAGACCTCAAACATAAAGTTTATGTCAACTCTTATGTCCATTACATTCACAGTTGTCCTTGCTTTGTTCATACCTGTAAGTTTTCTAAGGCTATTCCTTAGACATTTCTATTTTTAACAGCATTTGCTACTTTGCTGAATATTCTTTGGGAAATAAATTTTGGAGGACAAAGATTTTCTCACACAGTTATCTTTTGCAATAGCTCATTCACCTAGACCTCATGTAGATCTGTTCCCTTCCTAAATGGCTTCATGCTATTTTTCAACAGTGTCCTAAAGGTGAACCAGTATGGTGGCTTTTCTTAAGCTCTTATCCTCTTTAGATGGGGAAACTCTCAGGAGCTCCATGGAAAAACTCCAGGTTTTCAATGAGATACTGTTTCAGATAGACTTGAAGTCAGGGGTGAGGACATGGTAGCTTCTAGGCATGGCATAGCGAAGTCACAGTTTCCATTCTCTGGCTTGTGACTGCAAAGCAATAGAAAGGGCTAGTAGTGGGGTAAACGTGAAGGAGGCGGCCAGAGAAAGACCTGCATCCTTAACTGTTGAGCAATTTCTAAATAAAACTGTCCCTAGTCTCATTACGGAGGCTTTTTTTTTTTAAAAAAAAAGCATTTGCCAGACTAAGGTGCTTATGAGAGTTAAAGTAAGATAATCCCCACCTTCCCCTGGCCCTCAACAATTTTCCTTTGGACAAATTGTTGACATGTAATTCTGTTGAATTGAAAGGATTAGAAAAAAAGAAAAGATCTTAAAGACAACACACAGTAGCAAACTGAAAGGAACAAGATGTATTGTTTGAACATGAAGCTCTGTTGTCGGAAGCCAGCGTCTTGGTTTTCTGTTTTGGATTCCCCCGGAGCCTAAGGCAGAGAGTGGGCAAGACCGAGATGTGGAAGTCTGGGCTGCCTTCTGGGTGAGGTATCAGGACAGCTCTGTGCAAAGGCTCACTGTGGCCTCCCCAGGCCCTCTCCTCAGATGGAAATCCATACAGTATTCAATGGCTGTTGGGTCAAGGCACTGTCGTGTACGGCCGGAGGCAGTGGGTCACTGGCAGTGGAGTTCCATGGCGCTAATACATCACAGCAGACTCCAGAGTGGGCTCCTGAGTAGACATATTGAACACACTGTCGTCAGCTGCTAGACTAGGAAATTACAATGTTTACTGCCTTTTCTATCAAAAAAGAAATGCATGCTTATTGACCATCAATATATTTCACAATGCTTAAAAAGTGATGAGCATGAATTTCTTAATTCATCTGAAATTTGTCTTGGTCATTTAAATTGATTCCCTTCCCACCATTATCTCATGGGCAATTTCCCTAGGAGTTTATTTTTTTAAAATAATCTGTACCTTCTATACTAGTATGTACTGCTTTATAAAAATTCACACAGCACATTCTCATATCCACTTGTATTTATTTCTGAGCCTTCTAATCTATTAATCTGTCAATTTCATTACAGAATTTACTTTATTCTAAAGTAAGTCAGGAAAATCACTCAATTCTACAAAATGCACTTATCAATTTTTTTCCTATTTATTCTTATGTGAACTTTAGTTCAAAAGAAAATCCTACTGAGACATTGTGAGAATTGGATTAAACTACAAATTAATTTGAGAAGAGTCACTTATTCACGTGATTTCTTCATCAACATTACAGCCATGAAAATCCTACTTTGTCCTGTAAGATCACTATGAGTCAGAATCAACTCAAAGGCAGAGAGTTTTTTGTTTGTCCCAATATCAAAGGTATCATTGCATTCATGTAAAATCTACCTAGTAAGTTTTTAATGTACTGCTGAGTTTGCTTGCTAATATTTTATTCAACAACAGGTGTGTTTTACTTGGGTTGTGTTTTGGGTGTCTGTGAGTGGGCTTGGGTCACGTGAGGTTTTGGTAGTTCGGGTTATAATAGCTTCACAACGTGACTCTTCAGTTTTTAATTTTTTAAAGCTCTAGGAATTTGATGTGGCATGAGGATTAACTGTTCCTTAAAATCAGCAAAACCAGAATTGTTTTTTGATGGCCTAATAACATTTCCAGTTTATTTTTAAGTCTGTTTTTACTAATACTCTTATTTGCTCATAATTTTTATTAGAATTAAGATTTTTAAAATCTTATAGCATAGTTGGACATATTAGGCACCCTGGTGGTATAATGGTTAAAGCACTTGACTGCTAACTGAAAGATCAGCGGTTCAAACCCCTCATCTCCATCATCTGCTCTGTGGGAAAAAGATGTGGCAGTTTGCTTCTGTAAAGATTTCCGCCTTAGAAACCCTATGGGGCAGTTCTACTGTGTCCTGGAGGGTCACTATGAGTCAAAATTGACTTGATGGCCATAGGTTTTATACATCATATTATATATACATCATATTATATATACATCATATTATATATACATCATATTATATATACATCATATTATTATAATTTGATTTTTTTATAATTTTTTTCTCAAAGAAATAACCCTTGAATTTATGATTATTTTCAAACTCTTTTTAGTTTTAATTAATAGGTTTTTGCATTTACCTTTTATGTCTTAAATTCAATGTCTAGTGCATTTGCTTTTCTTTTTCCTTGTTTAATGCAAAAAGACATTTAATACTATGAATTTGACTCAGTGTAGTTTTATATGTATTCCATTTGTTTGCTTACATGTAATGTTTTCATTTCCTAAGTAAGTACTCTGTGGATTTGCTTTTCTCTTTACTTGGCAGTGTGCTAGAATGTACAAAGACTACTTAGATATCAAAACCAATGGGGTGTGATATTTACATATAAAATTTAGAAATAATTTCTTCTAACTCAGTAGCCACACTTCAAATGTGAACTAGCCCCATGTGGCTAGTGGCCACCACACTTGGCATCACAGACACAGAACATTTCCAAGACTGCAGACTGCAAAAGTTCTGTTGGACACTGTTGTTCTAGATGATTTTTGGCATTTTGGTTACAAAGAGTAGATTTTTGGAATTTGAGGTTTTCTTTGTGAGCTGGCATAAAATCAATTTTTATAAAAGATCCATTGATGCTTGGAGAGAAAGTTAACCTTCTGTAAAGTATAAAATTAGATAAATATCTCAATGAAAGTTTAATAACCACACTATTCAAATTCTCTAATTGGTATTTATTTCTGGTCTTCTTGGGCTGCCAAAGACTGATAAAAAGACTGATAAAGGGAGTTTTAAAAACACCTACCATGGCATGATAACAATCACGTTGCTCTGTTGCTTGCAGTGGGTTGTATTTTTTATTGTTTGTTTATTGTTTGCCAACTCAAGAAAGGCTCAGGACTTACCTGTCATCATTTCATCAACATCATCAACATTTACAACCTCCCCTTTTCTTGTTTTCCCTGAATGCTTCTTATCTTGCATTCTGTTTTGTTTGAAAGTAATATTTTTCCTACCCTTTCTTTTTTGTTTGCATTTGTTTAATAAATTACTTTAAAGTAACACAGAGAATTAAAAATGAAAGAATGGACAATAACTATCTTATTTATAATGGATTTCTTCTTTATAATGGATTTCTTCTCTGGGCCTAGTGGTCTGCCCTTTTCATTTGATTATGTATCATTTTGGCTTTCTGACGTAATATAATCAGGAGCAAGGTGACTACACTTTGAAAGGCCAGAGATAATAGCAGACCAATGAAGGAGAGGTTCCCAAAAAGAGAGGTGGTGATCTGTGATTCAAAAGTGCATGCCCACCATTATGCCATTCTCTGGTGCTTCTGGACTCATGACAAGAACAATGAAAGGATAGGGAGGGATGATTGATGCTCAAAAGGCAACAGAATACATTGGCCCTTGCTTTGAACTTGTCACTCCAGACATAGTCTGCCCTCAGCATAACTGAGGCAGATCATCATTTTCTGTGTAAGCTGCACCAAGCATTTGGCAATATTCCATAGCATATATTGGTGTTCTGGCAAATGATCTGTTGGCCCTCCCTGTATGATCTCCAGTTTGTGCAAATTATATACTGCCTCTTCTGTTGCTACATGTTGCTACATTTAGGGGCCACTGCTGACTTTGTTCAGAAACACAGCAAATAATTAATGGCTAAACAAGATATTTAAGCAAGAATACCTATGTATGAAAAACAGAATAAGAACTCTGGTATTTCAAACAGGTCTTATACTCCTGTGTACATATCTTTATCCTTTTATTTCCCTTATATTGAACTTGGTTTCTATAAGGAGGTGGGAATATCATTGAGAGGATGTATCCATATATCAAAGGGGTTAATAATAGCAGGCAAGGTAGGAGCTACTTCTTTTAGAAGCCCCTTGTCCCCTCAGTCCAACAGATGTTTCTTGGCTTCTGGCAGCAAAGGCAGAGAAGGAAGAGCTACCAAATGGAGGTGTGACCAACAGTGAAAATGAGGTCATTAAGACAGAGATGACACTTACCATCAAATCCTTGGTGGTGCTTTTCCTTTCTTTAGTCCTGTTTGTTGAGGAGTCTTGGAGAATGAAGTTGCGGTTAAATGTTTTAGTGGTGGTCATTGAAGATGCCTCATTTTTTTCTGCTAAAAGGAACAAAATGGAAATGAAGGTTACCCAGAAGCTAGACCAATTGCTGAACAAGAAAGATGGCAACAGATATCCTAGATTTTTATGCTAGACTTGGCATTCCATTCCTGTGCACAGGTATGATTGTGGAAACTTTTTATTCTGTATTTATTTTTACAGTAGATCAAATAAGTCAAGGCATTGTTGGTGGCTTTCTGGGATTAAGGTAACTCAGATTATCCAACACAGTCCTTAAATTCTTATTTGCAATCCTGAAAGGCTCTAAAAAGTGCAAAATTTCATAACATTGGAACCAAAACTCATCTGATGGCAAAACCTGACCAGAATGGCTCTTATAGCCATTTCAAGTCCTTGTGTCAATGAATATGAACATTAATGTCCCTGCAGCAAGGGATATTAATGTGTTTGCTTATCAGATGTTATAATCCCATTAGGGAATAGGGTTTTATTTTTTAACCTTTTATTATGATTTGGGTGAAAGTTTACAGAGCAAATTTGTTTCAACAGTTCATACACATTTTGTTTCATGATACTGATTGCAGTCTTCACATGGTAAAAGCGCTCTTCCCACTACCTCCCTGTGTCTTTTCCTATGAATTTCTGCCCTCTGAGCTTGCTATCTCCCTGTGCAAATGCTGCACCTCTGATCTCCCATAGTTGATTGTTCAAAGGAGTGTACTTCCCTGGTGTAATTGTTCACCGTGTAGACCTATTGTTTGGTTGGAAGCCACAGGAGTGAGTTCAATTCCAGGCCTGAAGGGTGACTAGGGACTATATTCTCGGGGGTTTCACCCATCTCTACCAGACCAGTAAGTCTTGTTTTTTTTTTTCTTTAAATGATTTTGAGTTTTGTTCCACATTTATCTCCCACTCTATCCAGGAAAGGAGCTCTGGTGGCACTGTGGTTAAGACATTGGTCTGCTAACCAAAAGGTCAGTAGTTCAAACCCAATAGCTGCTCCATGAAAGAAAGATGAGGTAGTCCACTTCCATAAAGATTTACCACCTTAGAAATCCAACGGGGATCACTGTGATTTGGAATTCACTCAATGACAGTGAGTTTATTGTTTCTTTGTCCTATCCAGGATCTCCAATTTTGATCCCTTTCTGAGTAGTTGGCAGGGGTAGCCAAGCACAATCTAGTTCTTCTGGTCTCAGGTGATGTAGCCAGAACTGCCCATGGTCCACTAATTCCTTGGACTAATCATTTCCATGTGTCCTTGATTTTCTTTAATCTTCTTTGCTCTGGATGAGGAAAGACCAATAGTTGAATTTTCGATGACTGCTCACAAGCATTTAAGACACCAGTCTCCGTTCACCAAAGTAGGACACAGTGATGGTTTTGTGTACTAAGTTGTTCCAGTTGAGGTTGATGTCCCATGACCATGGTCCTGAGCTTGCAGGCCCAGCGACTCACTTCCTCAGGGTGTTTGGTTGTGGCTAAGAAGTTATTATAACTTTCCCTCCAGTTTGCTCTATTTATTTATATGGACATTTTTATAGCTTATGCAGAAATATCATCTGCCAAACCTACCTATGGTCATGGTACATTCCCATGTGCCTACCCATACTTGATCCTCTGGTGGCATATCTACCTATGCATCCACCCATAGATAATGGTTGTTATTACTGATAGTGAAATATTATTTATAAAATAGTATTATGTAATAGTTATCTATACCTCTTGTGCACCTCTTTGTGTCTTCCTTTTCCTAAGTGATATTGTACTGGTCACTCGCTTTTGGTAGACTGCCTTTCCTCTCACCCAAATCAATACATGTTTCTTACCTAGCTAGCAGTTTCTTTCCTCTCCCATCTCATCCCTGGTAACCAACAAGGAAAGTCCTTCCATGGGTAAACATTTCCTTGACTTTTTATAAAAGTAGACTCATACAATATTTGTTCTTCTGTGACTAATTTCACTTAGCATAATGTCCTCCGTGTTCATCCACATTTTGAGGTATTTCATGGGTTCATCATTATTCTTTAATATTACCTAGTGAAAGCTAAGGAGCTCTGGTAGCATAGTGCCTAAGGCACTTGACTGCTAACCAGAATGCTGGCGGTTCAAACCCACCAGCCACTCCTTGGAAGGAAGGTTGGGCAATCTACTTTCATAGTGATACCACCTTGGAAACCCAAGGAGGGGTCGCTATGAGTCGGGGCTGACTCCACGCCACATAACAACAACAACAGTGAAAGCTAGACAATAAGTAATGAAGACCAAAGAAGAATTGATGCTTTTTGAATTGTGGTGTTGGGGAGGAATAAAGTACCATGGACTGCCAGAAGAATGAACAAATCTGTCCTGGAACAAGTGCAGCTGGAATGCTCCTTAGAAGTGAAAATAGCCAGACTTCGTCTTACTTGCTTTGGTCATGAAGGGACCATTTCCTGGAGGCTATTTTACTTGGTAAAGTGGAGGGTCAGTGAAAAGGGAAGATCCTCAATGAGATGGATTGATACGGTGGCTGCAATGATGGGCTCAGGTACAGCAAGGATTGTGAGGATGGCACAGGACTGGGCAGTGCTTTATTCTGTTGTACACTGGGTCGCTATGATTTGGAGTCACCTGGATGGCACCTAACAACAACAGTGTTCCGCTGTGTATATATCTGTTGCTGGGCACATAACATTGTTTCCATCTCTTCACTGTTGTGAAGAGTGCTATGAGATTAACTTAGGTGTGCATGTATCTATTCATGTCCTGGCTTTCACCTCTTTAGGATATATACCTAGTAGTGGGAATGCTGGATCAAAAAGTTTTTATATTTCCAACTTTTTAAGCAATCACTGTACCATTTTCCACAGTGGTAGTCCCATTAGCAGTATATGAGAGTTCCAATCTCTCCACACCCTCACTAGCATTTTTTGTTTTCTGTGCTATGTTGAACTTTGCCATCACTGCTGGAGGAAGATGGTATCTTTTTTTTTTGGTTGGTTGTTTTGCTTTGGGTGCAAATTTACAAAGCAAATTTGATTTACATTCTTTAGTTCATGAACATTTGATTTCATGGTCCTATTACCATCCTCAGCCTATAAAAACCACTCTGTGCCCTTTGTAGCTGTACATTTCTGTTTGTCCAGCTTTCCCTCTGTGTGAGTGCTGCCCCTCTGGTGTCTCATGGCTGAATGATCTAATGCATCTCCCTAGAGTAGGTGGGTGCATCACCCTGGGGTGGGTGTTCTACATGTAGGTCTTTCTACTGTTGGGCTGAGAGCCAATCTTTCTAGGCCTGAAGGGTAACCCAAGGGGGTTCCACCCTGTATTCAACCAGTAATTCTGGTCATTTTTGTGTTTTTGTATATTATTCCACATTTCTCCTCCCACTTTATCCAGGATTTTGATCCCTTTCCAAGCAGTTGGCATTGGTAGCCAGGCATGATCTAGTTCTTCTGGTCTTGGGGTCTGGAAGGCTAAGGTCCTAGTGGTCCATCTTATCATTGTTTCCAGATGCCATTGATTTTCTTCACTCTTCTCTGCTCCAGATGAGAGGAGACCAATAGTTGTCATAAATGGCTGCCTGAAAGCTTTTAAGACCCCAATCATCATTCACCAAAGTAGGTTGTTGTTGTTGTTGTTGTTGTTATGTGCCGTCGAGTCGACCCCCGACTCATAGCGAGTCCTCCTTGGGTTTCCGAGGCAGTATCACTACAGAAGTAGGATTGCCCAACCTTCCTTCCGAGGAGTGGCTGGTGGGTTTGAACCGCCAGCCTTCTGGTTAGCAGTCAAGTGCTTTAGCCACTATGCTACCAGAGCTCCTAAAGTAGGTTATAGAACAAGATTTTTTATGTGTTATGTTGTGCCAGTTAAGCAGGATGTCCCCTGAGACTATAGGCCTGAGCATGCAGGCCCAGTGATTCTCTCTCTCTCAAGGCGTTTGGCTGTCTCTGAGAAGTTATTCCAACTTTGTCTTCTGTTGCTCCTGTTTGCCTACCCCCACCTGATCTTCTTACCTGTCTATGCATTCATCTGTAGCTTGGTGTTTGGTGTTAGTGGTGAGGCAGTATTGTGCATGTAATAGTATTTGCCTCTGTTTTCTCCATCTTAAATGCACGTTTCAGTGTCCATTCTTTCCCCAGTGTCATCATGCTGGTCACATACTCTTTCCATACCGGCCCTCCCCTCACCCAAATTAACATGTGACCCCCAACTAGTCTGAAATTTTCCCTCCCCATCCCTGGTAACCAACAAAGTGAATTTCCTTCCCTGAGTAAACCTTTCCTTGACATTTTACAATAATGGGCTCATACACTATTTGACCTTCTGTGATTGACTTATTTCACTCAGCATAATGTCCTCCAATTTTATCCATATTGATTCATGTATTCTTCATTATTCTGTAATGTTACATAGTATTCCATTGTGTGAATGTATCGTAGTTTTGTTACCCATTCATCTGTTGATGGGTATTTAGAATGTTTCCAACTCTTTGCTATAGTGAATTGTGCTGCGATGAACATGGGTGTGCATATGTCTGTCTGTTTCCTGTCTCTCACCTCGTTAGGATATACTCTCACCTCTTTAGGATATATATTCCTAGTAATGGAATTGTTGGATCAAATGGTATTTCTATTTTCAGTTTTCTAAGGAAACGCCATACCATTTTCCACAATGGTTGTACCAATTTGCAATCCCACCAACAGTGTATGAGGGCTCCAATCTCTCTGCAACTTCACTTTGCTATTTTCTGTCTTGTTGAACTTTGCTATTATTGCTGGGGTGAGATGATATCTCATTGTTGTTTTGATTTGCATCTCTCTAATGGGGAGCTATGGTGGCATAGTGCCTAAGGCAATTGGACTGCTAACCAGAAGGCTGGTGGTTCAAACCCACTAACCACTCCTTGGAAGGAAGACTGGGCAATCTACTTCCTGTCTCAGAAACCCAAGGAGGGGTTGCCATGAGTTAGAGTTGATGCCATAGCAGTGAGTTTGAATGGCTAATATAATAAATTTTAGAGATAAATCCCTGTCAGATATGGCATAGCCAAATA